TCCTATCACTATGATCAATTGTGAACAGAAATTGATCACTTGGACTAGTGAGATGGCATTGGTACATGCCACCTTGATGGGATTGAATTGGAACCCCCTGGTATGTTTCTAACTCTACCGTTTGGGGCAAGTCAGCTTGAGCATGTCCCGAATTGCACATCTAGTGCTAGTGATCTTGAACATTTTTTCATGTGTCTGTTGGCCATTTGGATTTCCTCTTTTGAAAAATGTCTATTGAGGTCCTTGGCCCATCTCTCAAGTGGGTTGTTTGTTTTGATGTTGTGGAGTTTCTTGATTTCTTTGTAGATTCTGGTTATCAACCCTTTATCTGTTGCATAGTTTGCAAATATTTTTTCCCATTCTGTTGGTTGCCTCTTCACTCTCCTGACTGTTTCTTTTGCAGTACAGAAACTTCTCAATTTGATGCAATCCCAAATGTTAATTTTGGCTTTGACTGCCTGTGCTTCTGGGGTATTTTCCAAGAAGTCTTTGCCAGTACCTATATCTTGCAGGGTTTTTCCAATACTCTCTAATAATTTGATGGTGTCAGGTCATAGATTTAAGTCTTTAATCCATGTTGCAGTCTGGTAAAACCAGAGGAACCCTCAGAGATTACACTGATCTTTTATTTTAAAAATGAGGATGCTGAGATACAGAGAGGAGGAATAATTTGCCAAACTTCACAGAGGTGACAAATATTCAGTTTTGTGGAGTTGTGGAGGTACTCAGGTCTCAGTAACTGTCTAAGTCAATGAAGTTTAAACATTTTTCAGTGTAACCCACAGTAAGCAATCAATTTTACACATACTCTGTGTATATACCACTATGCCATTGATTATAAGACACACTAGTATTATGCGGACTACTAAAACAGAAACTGTCTTGTGCCACAGCAGAGTCGCATAGCCCAGTACTAAGATACCTGGGACTTCAGGATATATCCTGATTTTCAAGATAGTAAAAGATGAAAATAAATCCACCTTGAAACATGCACATGTGATGTATAACTAAGAGAGAAAATTTACATATGATCGTCTCTTTTCAATTTTATTTATTTTTTAAAATAATCTTTGGGTTCCACTAAATTAATTTGACCACCCAATAATTGGTTAACCTGGTCTAAACACTACTCTAAATTATGTGACACATCACCAGAAGCCTTATTAACATAAACAGCCAAGGTATTGTTCAATTTGATAGTAAATGCAGAAGAAGAAAAGCAAGAGTTTAACGTGGATAGGAACCCCCGGAAAGTTCTCCAATTAAAAAGTAGAGTTTAACTTGGATGGATGGATAATCTATAGTAAAGTAGTGAAAAATGAACCGTTGGGAAACTGGGGGTAGGGGGAAGGGGAGGTGTGTGGGAGGGGCTCAAATATAAATGTAAAAAATTTCTATATCCTTAAAAATAAGATCTAACCATTTATCTTTATAAAATGAATATGTAAGGACAACATCTTTTAGTAAAGGTCTCAATCATTCCAAAATTGAAAACAAATGATAATGTCTCACAGAAAATATCAAGAAATCTGAAAAAATTTAAATAAACACAGTCCAAAGAATGAAAATACACAAAACTGATTTAGACAAAACGATGCAATATTTGTTTTGTATCTTGTTATAAATTCAAAAGCAGACAAATAGTTTGATAGCAGAGTGTCCTGAAAACAAGTGGCTGGACAATCCCCAAGCCCCAATTCTTTCTGTAATTCTTGTAGATTCAGGGATTAATGCATAAAATAAAAATTTGGAATACTCTCCTTGCCAACCTCTGTGTACATTTTTTAAAGGATACAGTGAGTATAAAACTAGGTGGCAGAAATTTTTGGCGACTTCCACCTACATTCATTTTTAGTTTATGTCCACTCCTGATAAAAGGCAAGTAAACAAAAACAAACCCAGAAGCCAGTGTGCATGTGTGTGCAAACTGTGCACACCACCGTGCAAATATGTGATCAGAATTAAAAATGTGCACACTTGGCAGTTAGGAAGTGTTACTGCAATCGTTAGGAGGTGAAATTTCAGTCCCTTTGATGAAGATACCATCTTTCAACCACGCTCTGACAGAAAACCTTCCGTTCCTGTTAGAGCCCTCCCTGCCCAGTTAGCTGTTGGGCTCCATCTGGAGGGATGGGGGCTCTCCCTCTCTATCCTAGCTAAGCGTTCCCAGATCCCGGAGAAACCCTGGTTTCTGCAGAGCACTCAACGGGCTGCAAAGTGTCCCAGCTCAGCAGAGGGCAGCTGGAAATGGATTTAAAATGGCAACACGGACCAATCAGCGCCATTGCGCCTCCTCCACAGGCACAGCGGAACCTGGCGGTTCCTAACTCGCTGTTTAGGACTGAAAATAGGCGTTTGTATTCCACGGTGGTCTGTATCTCTGAAAGAAAAATTCTTCCCTGGGTGAAAGTTTTTATTTTGGAATCAATCCAAAATAATTTTGGGTGTGATGTGTGAAAATCTGAACCTAATTTTTTTTAGAGTTTTGTGTTTTTCAAGGATGAAATGAGGTACATTTTTAAATGGACTCCACCTTCTAAAAACGGACTGTGGCCATTATGGTAACTCACGTAACTCAGAAACAGCCCAGGCTATAAAATTAGGACTTTGCAAAAAAAAAAAAAAAAAAAAAAAAAAAAAAAAAAAAAAAGAAAAAAGTTCTTAGGGAGAAGGTTAAATGGAGGCAAATTCAAATTCAAGGGAACGTTGGGCAGCGGATGTAATTGTGATGTTAGGGATCCGTGAGGTTCCCTTTACCCCACGAGCTTTGGAACCCGGGGTATGCAGCGTGAGCCCTGGGGAGACTTCGTGTAGTCTCTGGACTTTCGCTGAGGAAAGAACTCGGCGCAGAGTCGGGCGCGCTGGGCGTGCTGTGTGCACATTGTGTGCACGTGTGCCTGTGTCTGCGAAAGTGCATGGACATCTGCGTGCCTGTGTGTTTGCGTGTGGGTTCGCGTGTGTTTAGGAGCGCTTGCGTGCCCGTGTATCTGCGTTCGAGCAACCGTGCCCGTGCCCACACGTTTGTAAGAGTGCATGTTTGTGCGCGTGGTTGCCGTGCGCGCCGGACTGCGCGCTCGGCAGGGAGGGCATCCTGCGGCGGCCGCGGGCTGTCTGAGGTCCTGCTCCTGCTGCCCGGCAGTAGCTTCCCACTCCCAGGGGACCGGGACGCTGAAGTCGGGGCAGCTAGGCGCTTCCGACAAAGTGTTGGCTCCGCACTGGGGACGCACAGGTAAAGGCCGAGCCCCGGCAGCGTGGCTCTGGGACAGTCAACGTTCTCGCGCTTTCTCGCGCCTTCCCTGAACGACCGCCCTGCTATGACCTCGGGCAGCCGGTGGGGCGAGGCCCGCGGCGGGCGGGCCCGGGATCCCCGGTCTGTCCCTTTAACCCCGCCGCCGGGCCGGAGCACGTGAGCCGGGCTCCGGGTGGCACCCGGGCGCCGCCGCCGCCAAGGCAGTTGTATTTCGAACACTGTGTCTGGCCCACGGCCAGGCGCCTGGTCTCCGCGGTCCGCCTGGCCTCCCTCCTCCTCATACTTTCCTCCTGCGCAGCCCCCTCCCCTTTATCCGCCCCCGATTAGAGGTGGGCACTCCCCCTGCCGCCCCCCCACACACCCGGGCCCCGGCGAGCGCGCGCGCGCGCGCACACACACACACACACACACACACACTCTCATCCCGCTCGGATCCCGGGCCAGGGGCTCAGAAAACTTCCAGCCCCGGCCGCGCGCGCTTGCTGCAGGACGCAGGAGCGAGCAGCGGTCCCGCTTCCACTGCGCAGTGCCGCCGCCGTCTGCTCCCGCCATCCGAGGAGGCGCGGTGCCACCCACTGCTCTGTCCCTTGCTTGCGCTGGGTGCCCGACCCGATCGCGGCCAACCTTTCCATCCTCCTTTTGCTGGCTGCCCAGAGCACTCCTTTCTCTCTCTCGCTCTCTCTCTCTCTCTCTCGCTCTCGGCGCGGAGGGGAAGAGGAGGAGGAATTCTTTCCCCGCCTAACATTTCAAGGGACACAATTCACTCCAAGTCTCTTCCCCTTCCAGTCTGCTTCCCAAGTGCTCCCGGTGCCCGCACGTCCTGATCCCGACCCGACCGGGGAGCCTCCCCAAAGCCCAGACCTCTCCTCCTCCTCACACGCTCCCCTCCTCCTCTCGCTACCTCCACCTCTGCCGCCACCTCCACCTCCGGCACCCACCCACCGCCGCCGCCACCGCCGCCGCCGCCGCCGGCAGCGCCTCCTTCTCTCCTCCTCCCCTCCTCTCTCTCTTTTTGGCAGCCGCTGGACGTCCGGTGTTGATGGTGGCAGCGGCGGCAGCCTAAGCCACAGCAGCCCTCGCAGCGCGCCCGCCCGTGCTCACCGCGCCCGCTCCTCCACCCTCCACCCCGTCTCCGAAAGGTGCCGGGCAGATTCGGGCGGCCGAGGCGCAGCGGCTGCAGAGGCAGCGGTAGCGGCGGCGGCGGCAGCGGTAGCGGCGGCGGCGGGACGCAGGATGAGCGCACGCGGGGAAGGCACCGGGCAGCCGTCCACTTCAGCCCAGGGACAACCTGCCGCCCCGACGCCTCAGAAGAGAGGACGCGGCCGACCCAGGAAGCAGCAGCAAGTCAGTACGCGGGCGCCGCGGGGGCGCCGGGCCACCCCGGCCCCTCAGCAGGGGCCCCGCGGCGCGCGGGGGCCACCCGAGCGCGGGAACCCAGTGACCGCTGCCCCCGGACCCCGAGGGCCGCCGGCAGAGTCCCCTACGAGGGCGCCGCCGAGCCCCGGGCGCCCGCGTCCCTCGGCGCCGGGAGATGGGAGCCGCGGCGGGCGGCCGGGAAAGGCGGGAGGTGGGGTCAGGCGCAGTGCGTCCGCAGACTTTCGCTATTGTGCACGGCCCGGAGTGGCGCGGTGTCGCCTGGTGACTGGAGGCGCTCGGGGTCCCGCGGACCATGGCTCGCCAGCGCTTTGCAGCCGCTCTTGAAGCTGCCGCGGGGGGAAGGGGGTGCTGGGGACAGGGGAACTCCAGCCGGTCAGGGCGGATGGGGCTGGAGCCCTGGGGACCCGAGGCTCTTTCTCACGCCTCTCGGGGCTGCTAGGCGGCTGGAAGCTGGAGTGCCATAGCCGCCCCCTTGGCGCCCTCCCTGCGCTCTCGGTGGCCCGAGACTCGCGCCTTCCCGACAAAGAACGCGTGGAGACCCTGGCTGCCCGGTCCTCTTAGGGCTTTATTTTATTGCGGCGCAGCGGCCGCCAGAGGTGGCTTGGAGAAGGGGCTACCGGGGAGCCTGGGCCCCCGCGGGACGGGGTGACCTCGCTCCGCCAAAGGCACGTTGGAAGGAGTGTCCCGGAGGGTATACGGTAGCTGGGGTCACTTCCTCGCCAGGCGCCCCTGGCCGCCTTTGCCCCCTGAATCCCGCACCTTAGAGCTGCAGACAGTAAATGTTCTCCAGGGCGAGTGGCGGGGGGTTGGGAGCGGCTTTCGAGGGGCTCCCGGGACCCCGCGGAGTAGAGGGTTTTGTCTGCGGATGCAACCAATTAAGCGTGCAGCCGGCGCTTGCAGAGCTGCGCGCAGCGCCCAGAGCTGAGGGTTTTGTTCGCAGCAATTTCCAAGCCTTGGCGGGCAGGGTTGGAGCGGGACATGTCTATGGAGAACATTTAAACTCCACTTGCTCGGGCTTTAAAGCTTCCCCTTCGTCCTTTAGCCTCAGATCGCTTCCTTCGTGGCAAATAGGCCGGTTAGAAAATTATTCCAGAGTCCCAAAGGTGCCTCAGAGCCAGGTGGGGACCCTGCACAACGTTTGCTTGCCCCGTGCGATTTAGAGAAGCTGAGAGGGCTGTACCTTTTTGAAATCATCAAAGGGAACAAGCCAATGTAGAGGCGCCTGAGCTTTCCCGCTCTGTCCAAGCGACACTTTATCCCGCGTTAGGATCCTGTTTTACACCTCCCAAGAAGTCTCTGCCCTCCCCCTCTCACTTCCCACTCGGCACTCGGCTTTGGCTTTCTCTAAAGTTCCTAATGGCACCCCCGCCCCTGTCTACGAAAGAAAATGCAATGGGATCTGGAGGCGCTTGGAGATTTTACCTTTCGGGTTGAGGAGAAATTCACAAAGAAAGAAGCTAGTGGCTCGGATGTGTGTGTGCTCTGGATGTGTCCCCTGGCGCTGGCGGCCCCGTAGACGCTGGTAGTGAAGCTGGCCCCAGATTGGGTGAATAGGATGCAAATCTTCATTGATGAGCACTTTTCCTGCGTTTTCGGTTCACGAGTCTCGTCTAATCACCGAATCTGAATAGATGATTCACTGGATAGTCATTTAGGATCTGGAATATTCATCGTCACATTCTCTTAACCACTGGAGTATTTACAACTGGGCATAAGAGCCTTTTGCAGTTTTGCTAAACCTAATGATTGCTTCTTTTTCTCCTTTCTATTCCTCCTCACACCCCACCCCTATTCCCTTTTAGTTTTCTCCAATTCACCCCCAGAAGAGTTTTCTCAAAAAAAGTTTTGAAGAAAATATGTTTATTTGTATCAAAAGATATTTAAGTTTAGACAGGAGGCCATGCCTGCCATCTCCAAAAGGAAGCGGAGAATTATTGAAGCAATTATCCAGATAATTCAAGCAAAACCTCCCACCACAGCTTTACCCTGATTATTTGGAATTTTTAGGGAGAATGGAGTTATTCTGAGCTGAAGAGCTTAGATAATCGCTCCAAAGTTTGACTTAGAATGTGTCGATTGTGTCATAATCAACCTAGAATCCAGGTACAAGCCACCTTTACAGTGTGGAGGGTGACTGGAATAGCTGCTGTTAGTTTTTCGTTTCTGTGTGAAATCTGGTAGAATGGATGCTGGTATCCTTAAAAAAGGCTTGCTGTTGCTCTAAGTTTCCAAATGCATAGCCTGTCAATTTGCATCTTAAAAATATATGACCGTCTTGAACTTGCATCTTTTTTCGCGCTTTGTTAGCATTTTAGGTTAGAAATGGAATCCAGTTTTCATATGCAAAATAGTTTCCTCTTTGAACTCTTGGATTGAAAGTGTGGTTACTTCCCCTTTTTGGAAACTCTGTGCCATCATCATCCTTTTACGCTTGAACTGAATGTGTTCTAACAACTACTCTGTTGAGCAGAAAATATAGCTAAAGAGTCAGGGTCAATTTCTTTCAGACATCCTTCCACAACAGCATTTTTTTCTTTTTCCTTTACAATTAGGAGCCAACCTGTGAGCCCTCTCCTAAGAGACCCAGGGGAAGACCTAAAGGCAGCAAAAACAAGAGTCCCTCTAAAGCAGCTCAAAAGGTGAGATCTTTAAAGTCAAGCTCTTCTAATTTCATCAATGACTTACAGGAACCTTGCTGTAAGTTTCCCATTCTCAGTCCACAACTAAGGACTTGGCCCACCTGTGTAACCCAAGACTCATTTCCTACATTTGACATTAGTTTGGTGGGAATTAACCTTTTTTTCTAAGCAGATGCCTAGCATTTAAAGTTCATGGAGATAACATGTTTTATTTAAAAATCAAAACCAGAAACAAAAACCAAATAATAAAACGAGGAGGGGGGATGAGGAGGGAAGAGGAGGTGGAAAATAACAGTATTTGCAATGGTAATGAAACAGTTAAAGACAAACTAAAACTATTGATTTTGCCTGCCTGGTAGTAAAATTTATGCAACTTCTGCAAAATATAAGAGATGAATTTACTTTGTGCTTCTTTACTCGATTGCTGAAAACCAAGTCTCTCTATTAAAGTTTAGTACTTTGCCAGATAGATGATAATTAGAAATAAACCCAATTATGGGATATTGAAAAAAAATTTTTCATTATTAGAACTTTAAGTGTGATGATAAGGAATACCATTTGTTTTACAAGAAAGCTGCCATATAGTTTATCATAATCTCAAAAAGCTTTTCCATCAAGTGATCTACTCAGAATTGGACAATGAGAAGATTTTTTTAAACAAATATTTGATTTATTCTATATTTTTGAGCAGGATAGAACACAATGAAATGTGACATTCTGTGTTTTTCTTAGTACATTTTAAATTAGAGTTTAAAATAACTTTATGTTGGTTGCATTTGAGTTAACCAAGAGGAAATATCTCAGGTCAATGGATGTATAGAGAAGTGAAGATCAACATAGAAGTCACTTTTTTTGGCTTTCTAAATAAATTGGAAAAAAATTCCTTCATTTTATTTGTAGGTTTGTATAGTAGTTGGAAACAAAGGTTAAAAAATTAACAGTAAACTTTGATACATGTTTTTAGTAGATTTGAGTACACCATGTACAGTATTTTTTTAAAAGGCTATATGCTCATCTTTTTGGAATTAATGTTTTATGTGGCTTTCTCTGTAACTATGGGCATTAACCATATTAAATGTGATAGTTTTCAGTGTGAAGTAAACTGCCATAGCAACTAGTGATACATACAAAATTGTTTAGGAGGGAGCTGTGAGCTCTTGTCTGTTTTCACAGTTTTCATCTGAGTTAAAGGAACAGACTTCTAATATATTTAAACTGAATGCCTTCTTGGAGTTTAGATTTAATTGTGATTAATATTTAATCAACAAACTTTAAAGAACATTAGATAACCTGATTATTTAAAAACGCCCATACATAAACTGGTCTTCTTAATATGATTATTTTCTATTGTCCTGTTCTAACTGGTTTATAAATCAACTTAAAAGGACTGATTTTACCAAGGAGTTTTTCTATGTTGCATAATATGGAGTTTATCCAACCTAATTTTACTCTAAGGAGATGGCAAAGAAATATCTTGGTAGGTAGTTAACAAGCACTTAAGCTATGATGCAACTGCTTTGAAGACTGCATCATTATGATATCCCCCAGGAAGGAATAATTGTCTTACCATAAATACTTAAAGGTTACTACATAAATGGAAAACTATTATCTTCCAGATCTCATTGTATTACATTTTTTTAGATGAGTAAGTAGATAGAAATAATCCCATCACATTCTCTTAATTTAATAAAAAAATTACCACTGAGTACAAAATCTTTGACAAAAAAAGAAAGAAAGAAAGAAAGAAAGGAAGAAAGAAAGAAAGAAAGAAAGAAAAGAAAGGGAGAGAGAGAGAGAGAGAAAGACAAACAAATCTGGGACTTATGCCTGATTCACTACCTACAGAAAAATACAACAAAAAGGTTAATCTATTCCTTAGTAAAGTTTCATTTAGTTTTAGTGACTTCAGTATAGCTATTTACAAATGACCCACCCCTTCATCTTCTGCCTAATTCTTCATGTGGATGCATGCACTGTTATAAGTTCCCAAAGAGAAGTGGGTTTTCTTTTGCTCAGAGAAGATCTCTGAAATGTTTCATTTTCCCAGACACAATTATTTCATACAATTTTGCTATAAAAGTTCCTTTTCCAATAAAATGAATAAATACATTTGCCATAATATGACTGTTATTTTTCTTCAGTTTTATAAATTACGCTTCATTTGGAGAAGATAATACTTTGCAAAATAATGAATGACATTGATGAATTGTTCATGGCATGTGTTAACGAAGTATTTTCACATTCAAATAAGTATTTATTGAGTATGCTACTATGCTATATTAACATGATTATTGAATATATACTTGTTTGTCAAACACATATTGTATTCTCACAAAATATAAGCTTGCTAGGATTTTGAAATGCCAATATTTTTAGAAAATGTTATATTGTTCATAACATGTATGATAAACATATCCTACTAGACTGATGAGAGTAGATATGGGGAGTCTTCAGTAATTAAAAAATTGGGTATTTTCCTGCAAGCTGAGACACATCACATTGAAAAAATCTGTTACAAAAACTGGTAAGTATATGAGAGAAAAGAGCTGTAAAATTAGAGGAGATGTACTATATTCTGAAATCTTGATGATGTTGTGTGTTTAAAATTTCTTGCTGCTTACAAAGTGTGTTTGGACTCTGTAACTGGCCTTGGGGCATTTAAAAACAAAACTGCTTGTTAGAAAATTAACAGTGTGAAACTTGACAATGCATTCAGAATGTAGCAAGATCAAGTGGACGACTACTAAATTAGCTATCACTTTAATTTCAGACCATATTCAGTCGAAAATGGGTTTATATAATATGTCAAACAGACAAGAGTATAAAAAACAATTTATTGTGCTTGGAACTTGTAGAAAAAAAGATATTTATTCCTCATTCCACTTATAATCCATTCATATGAATTTCCAGGGATGATCATTGTGTGCAATTCTAGCCATTCCTGAGAATACCAATCTGACTGCTCAGAATCTGCCCTGAACCAGTTTCATATCATTACCTTAATAGAAGAAATCACAATTTGTTTTTCCAAATAAATAATTTATCCATGTATGTGTGTGTATGTATGTGAATGTGCATGTTTATACTCATAGTGTGTCTTTACCCTTTTATCTTTTAGTTTGAGGTATACCTATGACCAGTTGTCTCTAAATTTGCTTTTTGTTTTGTTTTCTCATGGCTGTGCTGGGTGGAAGTACTTTGTATTTTAATATTTCCCATGTTTAGAGAGAAGGAAGATACAACCTTCTTTCTGTTTAGAGTTTTGCTGATCCTTTTTATTCATGAGAGAACACTGGAGGGGGCTCTCACTAATTCTTCAGTGTTAATGGTCACATGTCAAATTCATCCTTAAAATTTCAAGTCAACTTCATTCAAATACTGTTAGGAAGAAAAATTTTTTTCGGATGTTTCATGAAATTTTGATACAATGAAAATGAGTAATAGAAAAAAACTCAGATGTGACAGAGCCCTAATGTCATACATTTGCTTGACCTTCCTTCTGACTTCTTGTGTTAATGTTCAGACCCAGCAGACAAAGTGCAGAATGAAAATATCATCTCAGTGAAGTATGTATACTTCCAATAATGTGGTCAGAATAAACATCTAATTTCTATGTCCAATTTGCTGGAAAAAGAAGGTCTGATGTTAATTGAATCCTCTAAAGACAGGTCCATGCTCCTTTTACTCATTTGCATTCCTAAAATATATTTGAGTTTTCATAAATTATTTCTACTACCCATTATAGATATTTTAGGAAGAGAGACTACAGATTTTAATCGTCCTTTCAGATGAATCTTAGAGCACAGATGCTGAGTGAGGACAGAGTTTTCCTTAGACTGTAGTAGCCCAATTGGAGTAACCAAAGGCATAGTTAAAGGTAAGTCAGGAATAGATGATGCCAGAAGTTGTCATACAGGGTCAATGGTTTGTACAGTACTAGTACGATTTAATTTTATTTCTCTGTGTTTAATGGGCATGTAAGTTCCATTGAGGGATTCAGGTGCCTGTCTGAGTACACAAATGAATTCAGGCAGGTGCAATCAAGTAAAGCCCAACTGTTGTCGCAATTATCTTGATATTTTAGGCTAACTTCTCCAAACCATTGAATTTTTGTTTGTTTAACTTCATTAGGGAGTTATTAAACCTTCCTTACATATAATGGCATCTGTAAATTCTTTCTGGCAATGCATTTGAATCAGCATAAATTATGACCCAACAATGGACGATTCAACTGTATATGAATTATTTTGTGCAGTAATCATATTTCAAGGGCCCCATAGTTCTAATTCTCCAAAAACTGTCATCCTTCTGAACTCTTCCATCAAGAGCTCCTCATTACTTTGGCTGACCTGTATCTCTAGCTCATATCTACCTCAAGATCTCAGGGATCATTTCTCTCAGGAGACTGAATATACCAGATTGGTGTTCTATTGCATTGCAGCTCTTCCTTGACAGTAGATACGTACTGAAGAGCGCCTTGTGTCAGTTAAATCATTCAAAACTGTCATGTCTCATTAGCTGACTTTCTGTAGTTTTCAGAACTCAGAACCACATTGCTAGGCACTGGGGTAGAAATGGAATTTTCTTGTCCTAGATTCTGAAGTTTTTAGTTATGAATTTTTATTATGCTAACTAGAGCAAAGCGAGAGAACTGACTGCATTTTAGGCTATTGTTGATTTTTGTATTACTTTAATATACTAAGGATTTTTAATGGCATATTCTATTTGATTTAGTCAGCATCAGTAAGGCTATTCTCTTTTCCACAGGATATTATAGGAAGCAGTTTGCTCAGAAGGTAACTCCTGTGAAATCTTGTATCATTGCTGTTGATTTTTGTGATTACAAAAGAGGTAGATGGAGGATTTAGAAGAGAATTTCAAACTTTGGAAATGAAAGATACTCCTATCATTTTGGTATTTTGGTCTTGGTTTTAATTTAATGCTTATGTACATGAAGACAAGTGTATGAAAAATGATGACAGGAGAGTTGACAACAAGGG